TGTCGTTCCTTACTTTTCCGAATACCACTTCACAGCAGCAGTTTGAATTTTTAACTTTTATAAGTGAATAAATAATTATTAATTTTATTAAGTGAATAAATAAGTATTAAAAGTTAGTAATAAAATTGTTAATTTTATAAAATAAAACCGTCTTTTTGATCCAACTGATTTTAACAGCGCCACTTTGTGTTCGACGAGTATACTCGTCGTCGCTTGATTCTCGCTCTGAAAAGGGGCGGCGCAGCGAATTAATCGATTAAATTTGATAATTGATCGATCGAATTAAAAGCACAAAGCGAAGTGTTAATAATAGCAATCACACTTGTTTAACATTCCTACGCTTTGCGAATCTTCGTGAAATCAGGAAATTATAATATTGATTTTCGAATCTGAATTAAATAACTCGGTCGCCCGCATTAACCCTTTGCAGTCGGAGCCATTTTAACTCGAAATCCAAAATAGTTTTTCCGACACTGATAGCGTTTCCATTTTGTATGAAATAGAATTTTGTAACTCGTGCAACAGTTTGCACTGTGTCAAGAGTTACATAAATATAAACAAAATTTGATAACGTTAACATTATTTTCAAACGTGACAAAACAATTTTTCGTGGCGTCGCCACTCGACTGCAAAGGGTTAACGCGGACGATAACGCGAATTATTTACTCGGATTCGAGAAAATCAATATTATAATTTCCTAATTTCACGAGGATTCGCAAAGCGTAGAAATGTTAAACAAGTAATCGATATTACAACACTTCGCTTTGCGATTTTAATTGCTACGTTGCTTAGCAAATTATTCGAAAACGGAGGAAGGACATGCAATTTTTAGACCGGATTCTTGGATCTCGCGAATCACTCGCGTCGAAGTAAACCCGCCGGAATCGCGATCCCGCGATCGACAGAAAATTCCGTCAACGCGACAAAGCGATACGAAAAAGCCCGGCGATTTTTACAAATTTTTTACAGATCAGCCATTTATTCGCCTCGAAGAAAGTCCTTCTTCGGGCCGGTCATCGTTCGACTCGAAGCGATCGTGTGCGCTCCGCGCTATCGAACGCGCCATTAGCCCCCCTCCGTCCCCTAACAATAGGGGTACGCGTTATCTTCGAATCTCCCCGTTTCGCTGCCTGTTTTTTGCGGCTCGGTTACGATCTCCACGCCCTCTTATCGCCTCAAATAATAACGCTAATCCCGTGAAAAATCACGCGACGCAACTTTCTTTCGTAATTCTGCCGATCGGTTCTCACGCTAAAGCGGCCGACGAACGGCTTTACATGAAAGATTTAACGGCGTCGCAGATTTCGCAATCGAGTCGCAATTCGATTGATCATCGCGCGTTTCAGCGCGAAATGTCGATTAGATAATCGTGTTCGATCAACGAGACTAGCAATTTTCTTTCGGTTGCGTAACGCGTCCGCATCGGGGAGAAGTTGTAAATCGAGGCAGGCGAACTCGAGGATTGAAAGACAACGAGCGTTTAAAGCGCACGATTACGGAGATACGGGAACACGGGAGGAATAATTATTTCGAGAAATCGATCGGTCCGAGAGGAAACAAATGAAGAGCGACTTTCTCGCTGGGCGTTGGCCACCCCACGGGGCGAGAAGAGAGAGCGAGTCGTGAGAAAACCACCGAGTGCGAAGGTCGTACACGTTTATGTTTCGTAGTTTTTCTTGTGAAATATGTATTGCTATTCGTCGCGCATCGTTTTCTTCGGTTCATCGGGACATCTTTAATCGACTACAAAATACTGTATAATCATTTTTCTAAGCAGACAGTGTTCGAACTGTTGTTAAGTGTGGCGCGTTGTGTTTTAACCCTTTCGTGGGCGCAATACGAATGTTCAAAAAAATTGGAATATTCGCTTACCATTATTTTTTTCGTATAGCAATGCAGCTGTTGTTCGCGGTCTTGTTAGTTTTCATTTTTCATCCCTTAAAATTGGGGATGGTGGGATCTATATATATGTATAGATGGCAGCACGTTTCAACGGTGGGAATATTTGAGCCTGGCGTTCATACGCAAAGTGGGTGGGAAGCTTGGTTCCCAGTGCCTGTGAAAGGGTTAAATGCTCGAACTGTCTTCGATGGAAAATTATGGAGATTTCTAGTAATAAGCGAGTAATAAGTGAATATTATTCCGTTCTCTCAAATGGGAACAAAATTTTATTCTCTGGTCGTCGATATTTGAGAATTCGAGTGAATATAAATTTCTTTTTCTTCATCAATATTATATACAAAAATTATATATTATATATATATATAAAATATTATGTATTATATAATATTATTTACTATATTATTATATATATCATATACTATATATTATATTATATAAAAATTATATAATTCTATATATTATATACTATAAACTATATTATATAAAAATTATATAATTCTATATATTATATACTATATACTATATTATATAAAAATTATATAATTCTATATATATTATATACTATATATATAAAAATTATATAATTATTATAAATAAATTATTATAAATTACATGCAATATATATATATATATATATATTTATTATAATCGAAGAAGTTCTAATCATTGTAACTGCTGCAGCTTTCACAGAGACGATAATTTGATTGTGGAAAACAAATATCGAACGATTATCTCATTAATTTCCTTTACCGAAATTTCCTCTACTGGATGTTCAAAGAATGAACATCGATTTCATAACAAACATGAACATAACAGAACCTTCGCGTCGCGCAAGAAAAAGTTGGAGTTTCAAGTTGGTCGGATCCGTGGGCGGGAAACGCGAGCGACCGTTAATGTTAATCACACCGTCGGCTCGCGATATTTTTCTTCGGGGGCGATAATTGCTTCGGAACCGTTCAGACCGTTCTACGAGGCAGGAGAACACGCGCGCGGCCCGGCTAATCAACGAGGGTGGGACAGCGCGACCCGTGAGGGCCGAGGTGGGGGGGCAAAGAAGAGATTAAAGGTGACCGAATGGCCAGGTTCGCCGCCTTTAGCCCGACCCTGTCTCCGAGGGCACGATCTCCTCGTGCCGGCGACGAGGGGGTTGCTCGGCTGTTTAAGCAACTTGTGGCACGCGATCCGCCCATTGGCGCCCGACAATTGCTCCGCGGCGAGTTATCGAGCCGAGAAACGCGACGAGAGGTTTCACTTTCTCCGGATCACCGCGCCACGGTGTCTCGATAAGACGCGAAAATTACTCGCCCACCACCCTCCCCCTACCCCCGCGATTTTTAACACGCTCGCGTTGATGGTATCCTAGAGTTTCTCGCTATGACGCGCTTCCGATAAAACAAGCTCGGTGACCTGACGCACTATGCGGCAATCGCGCGCCACACGTGGTGAAAAGTCACTTTATAAAAGAAGTTTTAAAATTTGTTAATTATTTAAAAATAGTTATTTAAATTTAAAAGTAAAATTAAAAGTTTTTATATAATTTAACTTTGAAATTAAAAATTAAAAATTAAAAATTTAACTTTGAAATTTAAAATTAAAATTTAAAATCTAAAATGTTATAAATAAGTTTTATAAGATACATGCTCATAGTGAAGGACACGTGTGCACCAATAGTTATTTAGACACGTGTGCCATAATGTGTTATGCCTTTTTTTATCACTTGTCCGTTTCGAACAGGACTTCATAAGCTTCGAAGCAATCAATCTCTCGACCAATCTGAGATTAAAATCGTCGATTCGAAGTGAAATTAAATCGTAAGAGATAGAAATAAATTTACCTCGTGTGTACTTAAATTATACCACGAACTAAATTTTTACGTTTCTAATACTTTCTAAGTTATATCTAATTGAATAATATTAAATTTTCACTTAATTTCTTAACGATGAACGCAGCTGGATGCAGTGTCAATTTTAGTTGCATTCTAAACAGTGAAATCTTACCTTTTCGTTAGCAAAAAAAATTGACTGCTACTAGCTGCTATTGCAAAAAAGTTGCAAAAGCAAACATTGGAACATGTGCGAGCGTAGCCTGAACGGATTAAGTTACGCTCGCGGAGACATTTTTTTGAACATATACGAAAGCAAATTAGTTAGCTAATATTGCTTACTTATGTCACTGATATTGCTCATTGGATTAAAAGATATATTATACAATATATTATCACAATATATTATACAATATATCGTTACAATATACAAAATATAATATATCGTTACAATATACAAAATATAATATACTGATCTATTCTTTATAATAACATCGAATTCATAATTAAAACGTGTATTATTTGTCCCCGCCCTAAAGTTCATACATACATTGCTTAAAATATCAGTGTGCTTATTGATAAATAAAACATAAAATACAATTTTAAACAATCGCTTCAAAAACACGATTCTCCCTAATTTACTAATTATTTAACGAAAAAAGTGAGAATGCACGATGAATATTCTCTACAAATGTTACGCAATTTTTCTATACTACTTCTATATTTACAAAATTTTAATGATTCAAGTGGATCACAAGTGTCTTGAGAAATGAAATGCAAGATTTCTTATTTAAAAAAAGAATAAAATAAAACAACATCGTATAAAAACAGTAATTGCATATTACAATAGCATAGCATATTATAATACATAACTAGCATAGCATCAGAAATAAAGACCAAAAAGAAAGAAAATAAATTAAATATGTATTTGAACATGTATTATATGTGCAAGTATAAAATAAAAAAAATGTGTTAGGCATGCAGAGGATTTCAGCGTAAAATGCTTTTCACCGCGTTTGGCGTGCGTCTGCCCCATAGGGCAACGCCCGGTGTACCCTAAGCGTCCCGTTATCCGAGGATACAGGCACGCACTCTCGGAAATAATATTGTTTCCTGATTGTTGCTTATCTCGCGGTCGATTAGCCCCCTCCGGTATCATATGCGGTGACTGGAAAATTTAATTCAACGCGATACCGGCACATATTCGTATATTCGTATTCTGCTGCGTTATGCGTGCGATATATCTAACCTGGCTATCGTTGTTCGTGTGTTACAGAAAACTGGCGCCAGAATCAAGATCTACTCGCACTGCTGTCCCCACAGCACAGATCGGCTGATCAGCATCTGTGGGAAGCCGAACACATGCATCGAATGCATCCGTGAACTGATCGCCACTATTAAGACTGTAAGTATATACGGATTTCGTAACATTCTAATGCAACATGTTTTCTTTTTTTCTGGAATTTTGAGGTTTTCGAAGTTGAGGAATATGCTATACGTTAAGCCTTTAGGTGTCCAGTCTGCGTGGAAAATTCGATCTACCACGATCTTTGCAGTCGAATTTTAACTCTAAATTTCCGAAATAGTTTCTCCGAACTATAGTATTTATATCTTGCATGAATTATTGCATTTTGTGCATATGAAATTGAGTCATGAGACTCGTACATCAGTTATGATGTAACAGTTTTCTTTTCTAATATAAACAAATTTGATAATTTAAAATTATTTTGAGTTACATTTACAATGGATTAAACGATTTATAATATGAGTATAATGCAAGTACTTTTTAATCTAGTGTAATGAAAATAAATGTGATGATGATCATGAAATGATCATGCCACATCGATTCTACACTCTCAATTTAGTGGGAAACAACATAACAATATCCCGCGATATTGACCTTGACTGATTCTTTTCAAGATCAGAAAGTTATTTTATTACTTTCTACTTGTCTCAAGCACCAAACTTGTTGACGACAATCTGTTAACAAATCTTAACAAATGTGGTGCATGAGACAAGTAGCAAGCGATAAATTAAAAAGAAATATTTCAACATTTTGACCTTGCTAACATTATTTTATGCTAAATGGAAGGTGTAGAAGTGATCTAGCATAATTGTGACGTTCAGTTTTTACACTCTGAACAAGCAATACGATCACAACGCCATTGATATTATACGATTGTAATGTGAAGTCTTAAAAAAATAACACAAAAAGTAGATATTTCTTCAATTAGGCGTTCTCATTTTAGTCAGCTTCTTGAAAAACAAAAGAAATGTGAGAAAGAGTTGAGAATAGAACAGAAATGACATTTTATGAAAATTAGAACCGAATGAAACAGATTATAATGTCATCGTAAGCCTGTCTCTTGAAGGTCAGAATAGCAAAAAGACAATGAATGCCTAATCGAAGACTATGAAGAACCTATATATGTTCATCGTCATGCAATTGTTTTACATATTACAATCTTGTCTTCAATTACAATCGATGTCACGCGATCGACGATGTACCAACATTATCGTGTCTTTAACCTACACTCTAGTCTATTCTTTGGTGAATTATAATTCGTTTCTTACTCTGTAATTTATTTCCAGTCTATCATTTGTTTCGTCGTAAGAATCGAATGACTTTCATTATTGCATCTGCTCTTCATCTCTTATTTTCCTTAACTTGTTCCTTCAATCTTCCAAGTCTTCCACTTTTACATTTATCCTCCCCATCACTACTTCCTCCTTCCATTAAACATATAGCATTCCACTGTCATGAAGGGTGTCCCATAATTATGTTAACACCCGGAAATGAGGGGTTCCTGAGGTCATTTGGAGTAACTTTTTCCTTAGCGAAAATGCAATCTGCGGCTTCGTTCGCGAGTTATTAACGGAAAACGCTGACCAATCAGAGACGAGCTCGCCCAGCGCTAGGCGACCGAGCCGATCACAGATGACTCGCTTAGCGCTAGGCGGCGGAGCCAATCAGAGGCGAGCTCGCGCTAGACGGCCGAGTCAATCAGCGAAGCTGGGCTTCGACCGCTCGTTGGCTCGGCCGCCTCGCTACAGTTGAATTCGCTCCTCTGATTGGTCAGTGTTTTTCGTTAATAACTCTTAAACAAAGCCGTGGATTGCATTTTCGCTAAGGAAAAAGTTGCTTCAAATGACCTCAGAAATCACTCTGTTCCAGGTATTAACATAATTATAGGGCATAACATAATTAATAGCATCCTACTTCCTCTCGTGCAAATCTCGCACGCTCTTTCCTCTAGGTTCCGCCAATATTCGTTCCTCACTTCCGCTTCCTCATCCAACTCAAACAAATCAGATTTCGGCCACCTCAGTTTCCAGTCTTCCCCGGATAATCTCGCTAACGTTCTCATTGTTATATTCCAGTCCCCCTTGAAGGGTGTGAACAACCCGTACGATCCGCACAATTTCGATGACTATTACGCCGACGATTACGGCGGTTATGGCAGCGGCGAGGGTGGCCAAGGCAAAGGCGGCGGTTTCGGCGGCCCAGGAGGTCGAGGTGGCGGCGGTGGTGGGGGCGGTGGTGGTGGCGGAGGCATGCCACCGAGACGCGACAACCGTGGTGGAGGGCCGGGTGATATGAACCGCGGTTTTCCGCCGCCACCTCGAGGTGGACCTCGCGGCGGCGGCGGCGGGGGTGGTGGAATGTCTGGCGGACCACCCGACCGCGGCTTTGGAGGTAATCGTGGCAGTGGAGGCGGCGGTGGCGGTGGCTATGAGGGTGGCCGAGGCGGCTACGGAGGCAACAGAGGCGGCCCACCACCGTACGGGGGTGGAAACTACAACGGTAAGGATATTGGACGCGAAGAATCTGTTGCTAGCTGAGAACTAAGGCAGTTATGCGTTACCGGGGATTGTGCGTTTCTCGGATTTTTTAGTTGCCGCGAGCTTGCCGATGTTTCTTTCACCATTGGTTTGTTAACTATTGTTAAGGGGGTGTAGGATGTTAGCTTTGTAACTTTTAAAAGACGATTAAAGTTCACCTCGAGCCAAAAGTGTGTACTGTGTGGGATACTAGCTACTGGAATCTCAAATCTGTGATCTGAAATAAAGTGAACTCAAATATGGTAAACTATTGTACAATTATATAGTACAATATAGTACAATTATACAGTACATTATAGTACAATATAGTGAAATAATTATGTAGTACAATATGGTACAATAATTATATAGTAGAATATGGTACAATAATTACATAGTACAATATAGTACAATAATTATATGTACAGTGCAATATAGTACAATAATTATACATATAGTACAATATAGTACAATAATTATATAGTACAATGTAGTACAATAATTATATGTATAGTGCAATATAGTACAATAATTATATGTATAGTGCAATATAGTATAATAATTATATAGTACAATATAGTACAAATATATAGTACAATATGGTACAATATAGTATAATAATTATATAGTACAATATAGTACAATAATTATATGTACAGTGCAATACAGTACAATAATTATATAGTACAATATAGTACAATAATTATACAGTACAAGTATATAGTAAAATTGGGGCACTGCTTTCGCCTCGAAGGGAAAATCGCATCAGGAAAGTCTCGGTACATAACAAATCCGAACGTAACAGCTTCGGCTAACGTTCAAAAAGTGTTTCTCCTTGTTCGATTAAACTGTTGCCGGTAAACTTTTCCCATTTGTCAACCTTAATCCCTGATGTAATTGGTGTACTTTGTTCAGGCGACGGCTGGGGTATGCAAGGAGGAGCACCGAACGGTTTGGGCGGAGGTGGAAATTCTGGAATGAGTGGCCCTCCCATGGGTGGCAATAACCAGGGAAACCAAGGCAACATGGGTGGTAACAAGACTAGCACCCAGGTCACCATTCCTAAAGACGTAAGTAGAGGATGTTCGAAGATGCTACGGTTGGCGTAGCGATATCGTTGTTCGTTAAATTGTTGCCGTAGCGCGATAATGCTGTTGCTAGCGGTTAATTCGTAATTTGTTCTGTGTCGACAGCTCGCCGGTGCTATTATTGGCAAGGGAGGCGCCAGAATCCGGAAGATCAGATCGGACAGCGGTGCCGGCATTACTATAGACGAGCCGTTGTCCGGTAGCAACGATCGTATCATCACCATTACCGGATTACCCAGTCAGATACAAATGGCCCAGTACCTGCTCCAGCAGAGGTAATTATCAGCACCGTTCCCGTTCCTGTTACACGTCGATATCATCGCCCCAAAGACGCTTCGATTCGACACAGAGAAAGAACTGCGTATCTTACATTCGACTTATTCTAACTTGGTCCGTGAAAATCTGCATATGTATAAGTATTGCGTTGTCTATCCGTATGTATGTAATTCGCTTGCCCTCACAATCTGTTATTGCTTTTCAATCCCACCTTGTTGCGTGACATTGGAATATGTATGATGAGACAACGTGTAAATGAGCGCTCGAATGTTCTACGAAATATGAAAATTTCAACGCGCGTTCGTTCTTTTCAAAAGACTCTTATCGGTGAGGTCGCTAAGTATAGAATAATACGGAAGCTTGACCTGTTCGGTTTGCGCAGAAAATACATAATGCTGGATTGCATGCACGTTGTGATAAACTCCTTAAGTATGGCATAATATATAGATATGATATTGTTCGAAGGCAATGAAAAAGGTTGTAGAAGTAATTCGACTCCTTTAGATAACGCGTCGAAGTTGTGATGTACTCTCTACTGTATCGATAACGATGTATACATTCGTCCGCAACGCAACGAGAAACCGCTTCTGATAACATTGTCGATGTCTTACAATTAACACTTGTAACAAGCAATATATATATCATCCCCGAGTCCTCGGCAACCAGTGCAACTAATTCTGCTTGACGTGTCTCCGCGGCGCATCGTGTCGTCTCCATCTTGCACGAAGAAATTAACACAAATTCCATTAACCAAAACGAAGAAAGGGGGTGTAACAGAAGGCTGTGTGCGGCGTAAAACCTCTTGCGCGATGGTGGAGGAACAGTGTCGGAGGCGCAGCTGCAGAGAGGATAATCCTGTAGGGAGCGAAGCGAAGATCTGCTAGATCAACGCAGTCGTGGGATTAAATCGAGTGCCGTTGTATGGAAGACTAGTGATTTTGTTGTTCTACTTTCGATGTAACAAGGAATCACTAATCATCCTACGAAGGCATTCGCGATCGTCGGCTTCCGAGAACCTGCTTTTGGAACTAACATCAACCCTGCGGATCCGATATGCTCGCCGGCCGCGAACGACCTTGACTTCACGTTGTACAGCTTGGGGAGTCTTGTCTGTATTGTACATAGCAGTTAGAATAATTTGGACGCGCTAAGTTATTTCTTCAACGTGCGTGATGTGTCTCAATGACGTATGAATATTCAATGAACCGTGTAGTTTTGTAGACAGTTTCATTATTTTGTCCAAAGTCATTGATAATTTTACTTTGTACGTCCATCGTAGATTGTATAAAATTCATTTGGAAGCTTATGTTGCATAAGACGCGACAAATTTCAATGTTTTCACAGGTTCGCGTCGTCCTCGACACGGTAGAACTGTTAACCAACTAATTTTTCGATAACGAATGTTTGAGATTCTGTCGTTTTAATTTAGAATGCCTAACAATTGTATACTAGTAGGAATCTAATAATGTGATAGTTTGTACCGCAAGAAACATTAGCTATATGCTCGTTTTTGTATTCGTATCAGCCAGTGGACTAACGAGTTGTCTTCCCCGTGTTTTGTTGCAGCGTGCACGAGAATGCAGACCATTATTAGGACGTGGTGAAGGAAGCATTCGGGGGGAGCCAAAGATGCGTTTGTAATTTTTTTAAGGATACTTCGCAAACGGGCAAGCATATTCGCGCGAGTAAACAAACAAAAAAACAAAGTGGAAACTGGAACCATAACGAACGGACTTCACCCGCGTCGAGGAGCGGGGACGCGCTCTCCTCGCGCGTCACCAAATGAACAAAGCCTCTCTCAGGAAGAAAAGTCAAGATTGGACTCAGCCAGGAGATATCAGAATTTCCATTTGATTCGATGAACCCGTCGATAAACCTTGACAAATCCGGACATGCATAGATGCACGCGCGGGCGCGCGGTAGTATATCGGCTTCGCGCCGGACCCTAATGAGAATCGACGATCCTCGTCCAAAAAGGCCAAAGAAAAGGCATTGTTCATACGCCTAAAAAAAAATCATCGTTCCCACACATGCGTTTCTTTTATTTTTTCTTTTTTCGCCATTTTTTAATCGTTTTGTATCGCGTCGTAATTCTTTTGATAACTAATTTTTGTCCCCCTTTTTATTTCGTGCCCCATGCGTTTACTTCCCCCCCCCCCCCTTTTAATCGGAGGATTCTCAAGACCGTCGAAATACGAACGACGGTCCTCTTAAGCGAAGAATTTTAAAGCGCACACATCATTGTCTACTATTTTCCTTCGTCCTCTCGCTACGGGAACATTCCGAGTGGCTGAGCCTCCCCCGAGATATATGTAAAGATATACATATACATATACATATACATATACATATATATATATATATTATATATATATATATATAAATATAAAGATATACGAGAATATAATCGTCCCGTGCGCACCAATTTCTTACGAAAGAAATTCGTTTTGCGGCTGCGCACGGCGTTCCAAGTGTAGAGAGTTGCCTCGAAACATTTCAAAAATAGTTTTTCTGCTACACATGTGAGAACCCATCATGGCGCATTTCGTTCCCGTAGCGAAAAGGTTGAAGGCCGATGAGCTAAGAATCAGTGGAAAATGTTGCGACTAAATCAAAGGAAGGGACGGACCGCCGAGAGAGGAAGACGACAATGAATCGAGATAGGATTATTATAGTACGCGAAAGGAATTTTGTATATACATATAAAAAGATGAATATCGAAAAGATGAGAAAAAAAAGGATGAAGATGAAGAGAGTAAGATGAAGATGAATGGAGAACGATGACACCACTAACAAATATCCTTTCCCTTTCCTTAATCGCCACGTACCACGTTTCTGCTGTTGCATCATGATTATTATTATTATTATTATTATATTATTATTATTATTATTACTGTACGATTATCTATAAGAATAATTTTGCATTAATTATATTCCACTCCCTCCCCCAAGTCTCTTGTACTAATGACACCCTTTATTCATAGATATCGAGCGCGCGTTAATACCAGGCGTCTCCTTAATAATTTCGCGCGGTAGAATCGTTAAGTGTCCTAGAATTATAATAAGAAAGCGTGAAAGAGACAAAAGATAATATGAAGCACCATCGGGTTGACGAATCGCGGCGTGATGGAATCAAAAAAAGTAACGGAGATGGAAGAACGAAAAAGGAAGGAAGGGAAAAAAAAAGAAGATGAATCACTTGCAACGAAGTTTGACACTGTGCATAGAAAGTTATTAAGTACACGTTTAAGAAGCCACTTGGAACGTTAAACTCGAGAAGCAGCAGACGCTCGCGACGCTTCGCCAAACCCACAGAGTCCCTGTCTATTTTACAAGCAACGCCCACAGGCGCGGAAGAGAGGAGCCCGTTGCTTCAGAAATTCCATTGGTTCCATCGTTGCACCGGCGTTCCCGTTCGCTGTTGTTCGAGTTTAACGTGTCGAACATCGAATACTTTGGTCTAAAAAAAAATGGTCTGAAACAGAGAGCACCTTGATGTCCGACGAGCTGTCGAACAGGAGACGTTTAGCGGCAAGGTCGGTCGAGAAAGGAGACACGACGAAGTTGCCGCGACTACTGCTTCGCTTCGGCTCGCATTAGCTTTTAGTTTGTAACTCGCATAATTCAACACGTTCGCTGCCGACGTGACGCGTAACTAAATTCCTCAAGGATTCGAGAGACCGTGCATCGAGGAAAATTGAAAGTATAGAAAAACCGAGATAAGATAGCGGTTTCGGTGACCTCCTATAAAATGTCTTGGCTGCCGCCTTGAATCGATTAATTTGCAATGTAAAAAAACGAAAAAATAGCGCGTGTCATCGGCGTGCGAGCGACGTGACAAAAAAAAAAACGTTACGGTACAATATATAATCTCTTCGATCTTGCGATCGTGTCGCCGTCTCCGAAGACATTCGTGTCCAAGATGTCGGACATTCGAGTGTACCTTTTCAGGGATTGCGTGCCGAACCGCGGTTTTTTTCGGAACGTATGTACGCCGCGTGAGGAAGTCCACGAGCCTAAACTTCGAACGAACTCGTCCTCTTTCCTTCCCCCCCAGTACCTATATCCACCGGGAGAGGCGACTTAACTCGTCAACTGTGCTCGACACCGGTCTCCCTCCCCCACTCCCTCGAAACTAATTTTCTATCAGCTCGACGTTGGATTATAATCGCGTCCAGTCCGCCCGCGTGTCCGTACTTATTTGTGTGTGTTTCCATGCCGAAAAAGCAAACGAGAACACAATGTGTTATGAAAATCCGCTTTCGCACGTTTCGCCACCCTTATGTTCACGCAGCATTCAGTTAACGGGTTAAAACGAACGCCGAGCCCCGAGAAAGTCTCGCAGCACCCCTGAACACCTCTCTCTCCTCTATCCCCGGATGCTGCATACACTCTCGTCGAGGAAAAATGAAAACGATTTAAGGATAAATAGGATCCGGAGTGTCCCTCCTTGCCAGGGCGACGCTATACAAAGGGCATTTTTTTACGCATCTCAATGGAATAGCCGACGGTTCCTCGAACGAACCCGCATTCTCTTAGGTTTAATAACGAAGCCACAACATCCCTCCTATTTCTCCAATGAACAGTCCACGGTCGCGTGGTTTTCGTTTGCCACTTCTAGATACGTTCCGCGTGGGCTCTCCCGTCTCTCGACCTTGCGACCGGTCGCGAACCGAAAAGGGCGAACGGCGAAAATTGTGTCACAGTTTTTTCGTAGACCGAGTCTTGTAAAGCGTCTTCTGCCCATGCGTCCTGTTTTGCGTGCGACCCAGCTACGCGGAACGGGTAAACAGAGATATGTACACCTAACACAGCTGAACACCCATACACACACACACATACACACACGAAATGCGTGAGAGGAAAGAAAATTCGGTGCGTTTATGTGTGCTTGTTGAGAGCGCGCGGAGATGGAAAACAAAATCCCCCCCTCCCTCCCCACGGAGAAAGAAAGAAAGTTTTTGACTGTAACCCGCGAACGAACTACGGAGAGAAAGAGAGTGAGAAAGTGTACGAGTAAAAAATGAAAAGGATGTATATGGGTGAACGAGAGGGAGAGAGAGAGAGAGAGAGAGAGACAAAGTCGCTCGAATCACGATGTGTGTACTATAATAAGATATACAGTTTACAATTATTTGTAATGGATACTTTTTATTTGTCAAATAAAAGTTAGTACAAATGAAGGCGAAACGGGAGTGTTTCTTCATAAGGTACCGTCGATTTTCCTCAATTTTTTCCTCGTCTCGAGTTCGAACGAAAACATCGGTGTCGATAATTAAAGAGTTTACATTTTATTTCGTCAATTCTGCTCTTTTATACCCTCTCTACGTACACACTTGAACTTATCGTTTAATCTTTGGTTCGACGTTTTAGGTACAGACCATTTCTCTTATTTCAAGAGAATCATTCTCCCGCAAGACAAGCTCTTCGATCGATCGAAATTCATTATCGCATCCGCACACGCGTGTTCCTCCGCACACCACGGATCACACAGTTTGTAGTTACATAGTTTCGTGACGGGTCCGAAGTTCCGAGCACGAGAGGGTGAGTCACGTGGGGGAGGGGGGAGCGGGGAGTGTACAGTGACTTTCAATGATTGTTATAAGCAAACTCGCTCTCGAATTACGGATCGTATATGTACACACCGCGGTTGCGCGCGCGGCCACCGATGGCGCCACCGTCGTTGCAACTTTTCCACCGAAACGCCGCGTGTGTTGTCCTCCGTCGCGAACACAAATTCACCGGGTTTATCGGGGTGGGGGAAGGGGGCGGGGCGCTGTGAAAGGTCCGTTTCATTTACAGCCGTTGTGAAAACTTTCTGGAACATTTTACAGGGAAAAGTTCTCTCCTGCCGACCGCTTCGCAATCAACACGAAAATGGCACCGTTAAAGCGCCTGGCATCCGGATCGGTCCGATCGTTCCACAACTCGGTTATTCGACAGCGGCCGCGTTCGCGGAGATGGTTGCACCACGGTGCATGGCTGCGCGATGCATCTTCGTCAAGCGCGAGCTTCCTGACGCCGGTGTCGTCGTCGGGTTCGGCGTCGGTGTCAGCGGCTACGTACCCTGAAGACTAATGGCCAGGGGAAGGGCGGTCGGTGTGCACAAACTCATCGCGTTGCGTCCACCTTCCGTCACCGAACGATATCTCTCCGGCCTTGCTAACCTGGAAAACGTTTTTTTTCTCTGCTCAGGAAGTCGCGTCAAGGAACAGACGCGGGTTCCGCGGACCGATGGTATAACGTCGCAATTTTTAATGCGACCTTATTCCATCGACAAGCACGTTCCCCGTTCCTGAATGATGTATGATCTCGGTGACTGCGCACGGTGCATCTTTTCCGGAGGACGAATAGTCGGGCGAGCAAGTTGCCGGTGCGCCGCGCAGCTGGGCGAGATTTCAAGTGTCGGCAACGGTTCGCGTTTCGATGCATATTCTTCGGAGGAATATGCAAGGGAAATGTGTTCTTTGAAATTTAACGGAGTGCTTGTTTCGAGTACTTCGAAATTAATATTTGATTATTGGGTATATTTTATATATATTATATATAATATTATATTATATAATTAATATAATATTACTATAATATAATATCACTTATATATATTTATATATATTTACTATATATTATTACTAATACAATATTACTATAAACGTATATGTAAATATATATTATATAATATAATATATATTATTATATTATATATATTTTATATATATTAATATTTATATTTTTTACGTATTGTATATCAACTCGCGAAATATTTTGCTTCTTTATGAATAACTTTCTCGCGCAAATGATTGTACAGAGAAATGCCGGGAATTATAATCATTGAAAGAGATTAAAATTTCTGAGATGTTGTTACGTTTTTTTCATTGCTCTTTTTGATAAAAATTTTTTGATACAAGTTGATATAGTATTTTCTATACGATAGTTTATTCAACGGAGGCAGACAATTTGTATTTTGCACAAGCATCTGCTATCTAGTTATGAGAATGAGTTTACCGGTTACAAAACGTTCTTCCGTGCTCACCTGGAACACTTGCATTTCAGCAGCCTGATGAACGCAGCCCTGAAAGTCTTGTTGAAGATAGTATAAATGACAGGGTTGATGGTGGAGGACACGTACCCCAACCATAGACACGTGTCCACCACGTGGCCGGGCACCGGGCACTCCGGACACGCGGCGAAAAATATGTTGAGAAGAAAGAACGGCGCCCAGCACAGGACGAACGTGAAGAATACAAGGCCCAACACCTTGCTAGCCTTCTGCTCCGTTGCCACCATGTTCGCCGCCAGAATTCTCCCTTTCGTCCGTCCCGCCAGAAACCTGCTGGATCAATTGTATAAATTTGTATGAATTAGGAAGTTCAAAACCGTAAACGTACTCTCTAAGAATAGTGTTCGTTACACGGAGCTGCACGGGAATACGTGCAGATCTCATCACGAGATGAATGCTTATATTTCAGTCATTTCTCCCAGAAATGTTCGAAGGTCGGAATTGAAATCGGCAGATCTGAGAACACTAAGTCGTGATGCTTCGAGCCTCGCGGCTCGTTTTTATAGAAATTCGGGGCAGTCGGCAAAAAAGGTAATGCGGGAATAAAAACGATGACTTAACTTTTTTATTTTTAATTTTTTGCCACGATTCGAAGGCAATTCGGAGGCCACGTGACACGATTCGATGGCAATTCGGAAGCCACGTGACACGATTCAGAGGCAATTCGGAGGCCACGTAATACTATTCGAAGGCAATTCGGAGGCCACGTGACACGATTCGATGGCAATTCGGAGGCCACGTGACACGATTCGATGGCAATTCGGAGGCCACGTGACACGATTCGATGGCAATTCGGAGACCACGTGACACGATTCGATGGCAATTCGGAGGCCACATGACGCGATTTGAAGGCTTGAAGGCAATTCGGAGGCCACATGACGCGACTCGAAGGCAATTCAGAGGCTACACGACACGATTTGAAGGGAATTCGAAGGCCACGTGGCACGATTCGAAGGCTATTCGGAGGCCACATGATACGATTCGACGGTCATGAACCTAGTACCTACCATGTACAGTAATTTCTTCCTAATTCGCGCTCAGATTGCGCACAAAAATGGACAATTTGGAAAGAGGAGATACGATTATTCAAGCCTTGCGTCCCATTTTTATAATTGTTGACATTCGGAAACTGTAAAAATGACTCGCAAGGCTCGAATAATCGTATCTTCTCTTCCCGAATTGTCCATTTTTGTGCGCAATCCGAGCGCGAATTAGGGAGATATTACTGTACCTCATAACTTCATGGTTTTTCTTACCTGACTCACAAAAACAGACCATTTTGTATTGTCTTCCGGGAATTCGCGTCGTATGCAATAAATTACATAGGCGTAGGACTAGCACAGGGAAATTCACAGCAACCCGAAATTTGGCATTTCAGGGAGAAATTACTGCATTTGGAGAGAGAGAGAGAGAGAGAGAGAGAGAGAGAGGGGGGGGAGGGGGAGGAAGATAGAAAGAGAGAGAGAGAGAGAGAGGGAGAGGGAGGAAGATAGAAAGAGAGAGAGAGTATCATAATTATGTTTCAATATAGCAGCGTTCAACAGGATAACGCAACCATACGAGAGTCCATTACGCAGAAATGTCTTTCAGCAAGAACATAGCCGTCGACGAAACGCAATTTTCCGGCGGCCGGAGTTTTCAGCGATTTCGGAAACCGGAATTGGTCTTGGTCCACTCATTTGCATTCGCAAATAGCCATTCGTGCTCGAGGGCTAATCCACCTTCGTCATGTGTACCGCGGCAACGCATTAATGCAAGACCAGCCTCGCTCGCGGTGACTGTTGCATGAAAATCCCGGGACACCCGCGAGCGAGCTACGTATTTCCGTTGGAGAGGGAACATCGATTTTTCACTCGGCGAGCAGATTAAAATACATATCGGAGCCAATATAGTAATTGGAAATCCTATCGTAAAATATGCTCGGGTATAAAGGTGGTCAGCGGAACGCGAAACTGCAGACACAAAGGTTTCCGGGGTGGAGTTACTTGTTTCGAGGACCGTGTTCCCCAGCATGCGAGTAGCTTGATCCACTTTCGACAACAGTTTCGAGGAGGAGCAGCACTTCCGGCAGGACTTGCTGTCCCGTATCCTGTGAAATTCAGCTGCGGTTCGGCTTTACCCGGCTTCTCGTGTCCGTTCTGCACGAGGTGTTCAAGCAATCGTGAATGGACTGTTATGTAACTAGACGTCCAGCTTGTCCGCTGTTATGCAAAAATCCTGATACGTATACGCCGCATCAGGAAGCCCGGGGTCAACGGCGAAACGAATTATTCAAAATCTACTGAAACTGTTGTCGCGAAGTTTGGATATGCGAAATTAGTAAGCAGTAAACGTAAGTTAACATGTCTGCGGGCAGACAAACTTTTAATGAGCTGCAGAAATAGACAGGTGATTTATTCTCAAGCTATTAGTGATATCGAAATATTGATTAGCCGCATTTTGGCCAAGTACTTGGAATATCACATTTTAATAGTTATATACAATGAATTATACAGCGTATTCCATATAATTATGTTAATACTTGGAATGAGGTGATTCCTGAGGTCATTTGAAGTAACTTTTTCCTTAGCGAAAATGCAATCCACGGCTTCGTTTGCGAGTTATTAGCGAAAAACGGTGACCAATCAGTGGCGAGCGCCGCCAGTGCTCCGCCCTTGCGGCCAATGCCGCGTCGCCCTGGCCGTTTGACGCAGCGGCAGTGACCGCGAGGGGAGTGGGGCATCCAGCCGTACACGATCTCTCATTGGTCAGTGTTTTTCGTTAATAACTCGTAAACGAAGCCGCGGATTGCATTTTCGCTAAGGAAAAAATTACTTCAAATGACCTCAGGACTCATCCCTTTCCAGGTGTTAACATAATTATGGGACACCCTGCACAGCATCCATGTCGATGCAGATCGAATTAAAGTGCACAAAGATTTCAAAAAATGAACGCTATATAGAATCGAATACACGATAATGTTGTTTATAAATTTGAATGTTATAGGATTCGTGTCATTTTGCAGCACAATAAAAATAAATGCTATAGCATTCACGTCCGCGAACGTGTTAAGTACCTGTTTTTTAGTGTTCGAGAATTGTGATATGAACATTCATTTTACGAGTGAACGTCGTTTCTTGTTTTTTAAAAAACAATGTCACTCGCCAACTCGATAGTAACACACGTACCGATTACTAATATTTGTAAAGTTTCAGACAGAAATTCGAAGTATGTAATTGCGCTGATACGCTTCAGACGAAACAGAAAAATATTCCTGCTAAAAGCTTTTTTACTGTACAGGATGACTAATACAGCACAATAGCAACCGTAATTGGACTATCTAATGCTAGATAAAGTGGAGGACACATCGTGTTACTAGTCAATGACGCAAATTCGCATTCTATTCTGGCATACGAACCGCGCACACTGTGTGTTCAAGTAAATCGAACTGATCGAAACGTAACATAATAAAAATGTATAAAATGTTTCGCATTTATTAATTCCATTTCTCCGTTTCAAGATAAAATGCTAAAAAAAAGTTGAAGACATTCTATGAAACGCTTTAACATTAGGTGGGGGATAGGGTGTTCCATAATTATGTTAACACATGGAATAAGGTGATTCCCGAGGTCATTTGAAGTAACTTTTTCCTTAGCGAAAATGCAATCCGCGGCTTCGTTTACGAGATATTAATGAAAAGCGCTGACGAATGCGAGACGAGAGCTCGCCCAGCGCTAGGCGGCCGAGCCGATCAGAGGCGACTGGCCTAGCGCAAGGCGGCCTAGCCAATCAGAGGCGAGAGCTCGCCCAGCGCTAGGCGGCCGAGCCGATCAGAGACGACTCATCTAGCGCTAGGCGGCCGAGCCAATAAGAGGCGAGAGCTCGCCCAGCGCTAGGCGGCCGAGCCGATCAGAGATGACTCGTCTAGCGCTAGGCGGCCGAGCCAATCAGAGGCGGCCGAGCCAATAAGAGGCGAGAGCTCGCCCAGCGCTAGGCGGCCGAGCCGATCAGAGATGACTCGTCTAGCGCTAGGCGGCCGAGCCAATCAGAGGCGGCCGAGCCAATAAGAGGCGAGAGCTCGCCCAGCGCTAGGCGGCCGAGCCGCTCAGAGATGACTCGTCTAGCGCTAGGCGGCCGAGTCGCTCAGAGATGACTCGTCTAGCGCTAGGCGGCCGAGCCAATCAGAAGCAAGAGCTCGCCCAGCGCTAGGCGACCGAGTCAATCAGCGGGACTGGCTTCGACCGCTCAGCGGTTCGACCGCCTCGCGACAGCTGAATTCGCCCCTCTAATTGGTTAGCGTTTTTCGTTAATAACTCGTAAACGATGCCCCGGAGAACATTTTTGTAAAGAAGAAAGTTACATCAAATGACCTCAGGAACCCCTCATTTCCGTCCCGCACAATAATTTTGGGACACTCTCCGTACACGGAAAAGTCCAATGCCAAATTGTTACTTGTCAGCCGAGTTTCTCCCGTGTTTAACCAGACTGTAACTCGTTTATACTGTTATGCGGGAAACTGTTGTTCCCTAGAACGGATACGTGTCTTCTCGCTCGATGCACCTGGAAACGGTTTCGTTTACGAGTTTTTCGGCGAGAGTAATACCGTTACAACGAGTCTGTTTATACTACTCCCCCGTTCGTTGCTCGAAACATTTAAATGCTCCCACGCGCGATTCACCCGGCGCAACGAATAAATTGCGCCGTTTCGAAGATCTTCTTCCGGTTTGAAAGGCGGACCGTTAACGGTGCAACTAAAAATCTACCTTCGCGCGCTTGCTCCGCTGCTTCGTCGGCACTTATTTTTCCGACAGTCAATATTTACGGATTTGTCGGGGCGATTCCGACGGCGCGCTTTGCTCGCGATATCGAATAAACAGAAAATTCAGTCGGACAAAAATACAATTTCGCGCGAAATTCCGGGGCCGAATCGGTCGCGCGTTCCGCGGCGTTATTTTCTTCTCGTGCTCCGTTCAATTCGATCCGCTGCGTTACGTGTCAATTTCGCGGAACCGTCGGAGTCATTAGACGAGACGCCGGCTGACGAACGAAATTTTCGATTCCATTATTGCGTTCCTACGTCGCCGCCGCGGCCGCATAATCCTCGCGCTAGCGAAATTGCATTCGCTCGTCGTCAGTCACGAACACAAGGATCCTCTCTCTCTCTCTCTCCTCTCTCTCTTTTAACTTGTTAACGCGCCGCTTTCTTGCACCCCCAAGATCGTGTAATCCTAATGAAAAACTTGCGAGAATAGTCGTGTGTAGAAAATATATAGGGTGATCCACGCGTAAATACA